TATACTATGTATACATACCTAGAACTCCTATCTGTGGTTTAAGGTTGCCTTATACTATGTATACATACCTAGAACTCCTATCTGTGGTTTAAGGTTGCCCTATACTATGTATACATACCTAGAACTCCTATCTGTGGTTAAAGGTTGCCTTATACTATGTATACATACCTGGAACTCCTGCGGTAGGAGTTTGCCCTCTCTTGCCTTTGCTGCTAGTCTGGAAACATCCTGAGTAATGTCGGATAAACCCTGACAAATTTAAGCAAGACCTTGTATTAAAGAAAATCACTTGCACCACAATATCTATCATTGTGTTGATTAGAGAGGATTGTCCCAATGTATTCTTATATTTATAAACACATTAATATTTATCATGGTTTCTACCGACTACCGTATACATACCTGTTTCTACCATCTACTTAAACTCATATTTGTACAACCATTATCAATATCCTTCTATATAATAGCATTTGAAAAAAAAACTCCTACTGGATATAAATAATATATAATAATATATATATACAATATACAACATTTATATAGCACCCTTTATAATTTGTAAAATTACTCTTAAGGTGCTTTACAACACATAAATAATTAACATTCCTACAGTGAAAGTTATGAATAAAGTAGATAAAAAGGCATTCAAATCAGCATTATACATTATTTTGCCGGTACTTTACGGTGATAAGAGAGTATCCCCACTACCTTGGTGTCGGCTCTGAAGACTATAGGGGTGATGAGACCGTTAGGTGTGGCCACTGCTACATTGACATCTACAGAGTTGTACCTAATGGGAACAAAAACAGAAACTGTCATTATTAGGTAGCCACAACAAAAAGGCTATGTCAAGGGAAGAAGATTAGGGAGGAGATTTGAATGTGGGTGGATACGTGGCTACAGAGGCCACTTCCATAGACGCTAACCTCTGAAACCTCCATTGAGGGAGATCTCCTTCATTCCACAATTCCAACTAGAATTTTGTTTTTGTGAACAAAAACATATGTCTCCCCTTACTAGCCAATAGACAAACTTCGGTATAATAAATTAACAAAGGGCCATATCTCTTTATATGGTGGGACATGAGACCCGATTTTAGAATGTGAAACTCCTATTTCCCAAGATTCATTAAAACTATAGCAAGCTTGGTCAACGTAGGTGAAATAACATGGAGGTTATGCTGTGGACAAACTTCGGTATTAAAAATAAACAAAGGGCCATATCTCTGTATATCTGTACAAGACCTAGTTTCAGTGCACTGCACGCCTTCTGTGGGTGATGCACGTATACTTCAAGTTTGATTAAGATATAGTTAATGGCTTAGAAGTTATGCCGTGGACAAACTTCTGTATTAATAATAAACAAAGGGCCACAACTCTGTATATAGTGGGGCACAAAACCTGACTTTAGTGCAAGATATTCCACCTTCCAAAGATACATAAATATGGTAAGTTTAGTCAACGTAGGTGAAATTACATGGAACTTATAATGCTCTGGACAAACTTTGGTATTAAAATTAAACAAAGGGCCATAACGCTGTATATAGTGAAGCACGAGACCTAATTCCAGTGCACTGCACACCTACTGTGGGTGATGCAGGTATACTTCAAGTTTGATCAAGATATCTTAAACGGTTTAAAATTTACGGGCCGGGCAAGAATTTACTGAAAATGTTGCACTGATTTGACCTTTGACCTTGAGGTGAAGGTCACAGTGACCTAATTTAACCTTCTGTGGGTAAAGCATGCATACCTAAAGTATCAATAAGATATCTTTATCGTTTTAAAAGTTATGGCCCGGACAAGTTGCTATTAGAAGAACCAGAAAAAGAAGAACCAGTACTAATACAATATGTCTCCCTTCATTCGAAGGGGGAAGCGTGACTGAAATTGCTTTGCTCAATTTATCTTTCCCTTATTATATATCAAAATAACTCAGAACCTAGGAGATCATTTGACCACGGGATGGAGATTGCGAGTTTGTATGAGTTTGGACTTGATTGAAGGAGTTTTGAGGGAGATCGTAAATTTGGTCAAAATGAGGGAGTCTCCCTCCTAATGAAGATGGTTTGACAGCTACACTGTAGGCACTACCACAGCATCAGAAAGAAGACCAATTTTAAGAAGTAAGATTAGGAGTATGTACATATATTGTTTCTTCTATGTGTGTGCAGTCGCTTCCCTGGTGCTAGTCTTCACAACTTTTGCCTCGCCATATTGGCTATTATATGTATAGCTACTAGATGCATTTGAAACACCTAGATAAACAAGATGTCAGCTTAGCTTGTTTCTCATTACTCTGGCCATTTACTGCTGTCGGTGGCTAGCTCTCCAGGCTTTTTCGTACGGAAACATTAGCTCCAATTTGGGGTGACAAAGGGGTTGAAGGTAACTTAGTGCTATAGTTATAACAATGTTAGGAGATTATCGTGTCAAAATGGGAGATGGCTGCTTTTATGCTTGAAACCTGGAGACTCTCTATCGTATTGAAGTTATTCTGTAGTCATTTTAACACATGATATCAATGTAACAAACGACAGAATCAGTGGTGTGTGTGACTTACTGTCGGATATAGTTGTCCATCCAGGAGGAGTTGGCTTCGGGAACCTTGCGGCACGACAGAGCTGATGCTTTTATAATGAAGTCATTGACAGAAAGCTTTATGTTGTCCTTAGCTAGAACTTCATTCAGATCTCTTCTTAATCTGTAACATAACATGCAAACAGTCAAAACAAAACTGAGATTTTATAGGATACAAACTTTCCACTTGCACTTTTGATAGCCATCAAAAAATTAAAATTATTACAGGTATTTATGAAAATCCAAAACCGAAAGTTACAAGTGTCTTTCTAAACCTTCTTAAGAGGACTATCATTTTCAAACTTCAAACTGTCAGTAACACAAGGTTAACAAGTTTTACTGGTGAAGTTCATACTAAATGAATACTCGATTCCACTTATGTTGTAAGTGTACCAGTATGTGAACTATATATAGGTAATATATATAAACAGCTAATTGTAATTATGTATCAGTAATCCATTGTTAGTTACAGTATACATTGTACATATACAACATGTATGTCTAAATAGCCCGGGTTTCCTCTGGCCCTGACACCAGAGTTTGACATTTTGACAGATACACTGTGTAGATGTGTGCAGCGGCCCAAATCAAAATGTCTAATTCTGGTGGAAGGACACCAGGGCTACATATATATATATATAGAAGTGTGCTCTGGCCCTACACCAGACATCAATCTGTCAAAATGTCTAAGTCTGGTAGAAGGACACAAGGGCTACATACATATATATAAGTGTGCTCTGGCCCCACACCAGACATCTATCTGTCAAAATGTCCAAGTCTGGTGTCAGGGCCAGGGGAAACTTGGGCTTGTGTCTAAACTGAGCCCTCTATAATATACTAACCACAACAGACCATCAACTATGGTTCCTTTTCCAAATACCATGGTAGTTTGGTAAATTTTGAATTGTGAGTTTCACCTTTTGAAATTTTCATGTTTATTAAAAGAACATCAAAATGATTATTCTGTAAGAAGTTAAATTATATATATATATATGTCTTAATTTGAGCTTTTGTTGGCTTCTGAAAATTAAACTGTTCAGTAAGGTTTTTTGGTCTAAATGCCAAAAACTTATGCAATAGCTTATCTGACATCATATTTCATGATATCCAAGACCATACATGTATCAACTAGTGGATGAGGGATACAGTAGGACTAAAACCATTCTACACAGAGTCTAGACATACAATTGTATAAGATGGTTTTGGAGTTCTGCTTTTAAAGAAAAGGGCTTTTCCTAATATACAGATTCCAACGTCACCATGATATGGGCAGTATATATAGTTCATGTTTGATTTGGTTTAAATTAGTTTCCAGTGTTTTATTCAACTGACCTTCGTGGGCCATCTGATTGTTAACTCTTAATAACAACTCTTGTTTGACATTGTCAATTTTGAAATTAATTACACCTGGCAGTTTCTAGTGACTCCCAGGTTGTAAAATCCAGCCATCTGTGTCAATAGGTATGATGTATAAATACTCTGAGCAAGGATTTTGGTCCTGAATGTTCAATATTTAGACCAGTTTCACTGCAGTTAGCAGACCTTACCTTAACACCTTATCAACATTGAGATCAATGGTAAGATAGTAGTGTGGAATTGTCTGTTTGGATTGTAGTAACCGCTTGGCTATCGTCTGCAACAGTTAAATACAAACTCAGTTCAATCACGTATATCAATGATGTCACACATATATATATATACAATATTGGAATTATATTCCCTTTGATAATTGAGTAGGCAGCCTAATACACCTTAATGCCAAAGAAACTATGAAGGTTTAAAGGTAGATACACTTATGAGTTACCACAAATTGAAAATGTGACAGTGTGTTCTCTCTTTTTGTTGCACACATTGATTTCTTTAATGTCCCTTATCAGGGATAGACACCAACTTTTTTTGTTTGGTAGTCCACAGGACTAGTTGAATAAATTGTATTACAAGTCCTTCGTCAATGTAACCAGTCCAAGATTTCCTGATAAGGAAACATCGCGATCTAGAGCACAACACATCAAAAGTAATCGATTGTAGAGGACTTAAAATATCTACTGCCATAAAAATATGGGGAAGTTTGAGGTAAACTTTGACGATTATCATGCAATTATCTTATTTCAAGCAGTTTTCTAAATTTTAGAAAGTAATATTCTTATTTTATAAATCATATTTTTCACAAGTCCAAAGGACCAGTTAGGGTAGGTGATTCACTAGTCCTTGCTGAAATCTACTAGTCCAGGACTAGCGGACTAGTGTTAGTGTCGACCCCTGCTTATCTGAAGGTTAAAGGTGGAATACACACATTAACTGATTCATCCCTGAAGACACATTTGAACTTTTCCAATTCAAAGGTTGGAATAGTTCATTATGAAATTTCAGGGGTAAATGAGTTAAGGAGTTTGAAACCTGACCATTAGTTTTGGAAATGTCATTCAAAGCAAATCAGCGAGTTTGATTCCTTTTGACCCTACCTTTAGTCCCCAGGAGATAGTCCCTTTATGTTCTATTATATTTTGATCCCCATAACCTAATTGAGAATGCTACCAACAAAGTTTCATTGAATTCTGCTTAATGGTATTTTGGAGACATTGCTTCATGTAAAAGTTAAACGCCATCAAACAATGGATGGATGACAGATGAGTGACGAAGCACCATCACATAATATAAACTTTGTATTAGTTGAAGTGAAAATTTCCAAATGTTAAATAGAAAATATTTGTTTTATTATGCAAGTACAGGAGAAATAACACTTTTTCTAAAGGAGAAATAAAATTTCTGTGAACCGCTTTATATTAACCGTAGCTGAAGTACACGTACCTGTCTCATAGAGGAGAGGGAGATGTCCATGTAAGCCGCTCCTGGAACAGTTGTTGGGGCTGTGGGGGCCACGACCGCTACACCAGGGACAAAGTTTCTCACGTCATCGGCACGGATTTCACCATCGCCCCCAGATCCCTGCACTTGCTATTTAAAGAAATAATTGAAGAGGGAATCAGCAGTGAAGGTATTTTCATGAAGCTGTTATATGCTATTTTATACCATTACTTTTACTACAATACAGTGATTTAAATAGACATTGTAAAAACTGAGGTAGTTTCTAACAGCTTGGATGGGGAAGAAAGGTTGTCCTATAGTGTAGTGGTTGACGCAAAATGATCTGGTGTGTTTTGATTTGGCATTAAAAAGATAATCTCAGATTGGTGATCATGAGGAGTTTATCATCAAACAAAGAGTTTTTCTGGAAGACCAAATAATCAATATCCACTTTTGATCATTAAGGTAAAGTGCTCCAGTGCTGTTTTATCTCGAATGAAATAGAGTTCAAATCTGTTCAGCATTTTTCTGACTTGGAATTGCTCACCAATTTACTTTAGCAAAGAGAGATTTAAAAAAGATATACATTCATATCATAATTTCCTTTTTCATATAAAGATCTTGGCTCCAATACAGGGATTCGATTTTCAGGACCTCTTGATCATATAAGCAGGCATCAGGTTAACAACGTGCCCTGTGTCAACAGTCATGATATCTGTCATGTTAATACTTTTCGGCAACTTTACGGGAGATTTCCCCCTATTCTTGCTCCTTAAGCTCAGTATTACTTATGATTGTCTTTGTACAATACAGAGGAAATAACATAAATTTAACAGGAAAGTAAATTTCAAGGCCTATATATGTATATACAGTGTATTTTAATGTGGTGAGACAGTCTACATTAGGTGAAAATCCTTACAACATTATATGGAGAAAATATGTCATGTGACCTGTGGCCACCTGAACTGCAATTGAAGTATAGAAACGTATGCCAAATTGCTGAATATTAAACATTGGTAATAAGACTATAATGGATATAGCTAGCATATTCCTATGAAAACAAACAGAACACATTGTAATATTCATATCCAAAGAGATGCAGTCACTTACTGTAAGGTCAATGCCTTTCTGTCTGGCAAGTTCCCTGGCTAAGGGCGAGGCTTGTACCTTACCCCCAGGGGCAGCCCCCATAGCAGGAGTCGGAGTGGGGGCAGACATTGGTGTTGGTGCGAAGGGAGGAGCCACAGGGGCCGCTGCTGGTGGTTGAGGTGATGGTGCTGGCGTGGGAGGGGCAGGAGGAGGGGCTGCTGCTTCTCCTGAAGATGGATCCATGTCCTCAGCTGTTGGTACATAATCGGCAAAGGCTGCAATATGTTCTTCTTCCTCCACTACGATGCACAGCAACTGTAGACACAAAGACGTCTTCAATAGAAACTCATGCCATATACATATCGTTGATTTGTACATTTAATTTTCTGACCTTGAGTTCAGGACTCAATTTCTCAAATAAAAAATTATTTCAAAAGATTCAATCATATAACTAGTTTTGCAAGGGAAGAATGAAAGATTTTTTTATTTTCGAGTACTATCCCTATAGGTATCTGCTATTTGGGGTGGGATAAGGATGGATAGATATTCAGGAGTCATATTATATACCATTTTATAAAATTGAATAAGTTTATGCTTTTGGTGTCTTTCAGTTAGTGTACTCCATTATTTCATCAAAATTAGTTTCTGCTGTTGTACTTAACCATATTATTAATTTTGATTGGTAATTAAATTCATTAGATTTTTTTTAATAATTTTCAATTATTTTTTATAATAGGCCGACAAAAAAGATTTTGACAAATTAACCTGTTATAGCTCCAACTAAATTTCAAAGTATTGGTGTAAATACTGCAAATGTTTTACTTGACTGGCCGTATCATAAAATCTACTAGCCCGGGTTTAGGAGCTGGGTACACCCTCCAGATCAAACCTGACACATGCATACTTGCATTGTTGCAAGTTGTTACACCCCAAACTATATTTATTTTGAAAAAAAAAAGGAGTTTGAAATCAAATAGGTAAAATGTACATGTATTAGAGACTAACTTCTGAACAGATCAACTGAAGAATTTATTGTTTTGCAGAACCTTAAAAAATAAAGCTTTATACTTTGTTATTGCATTGTAAGGGATTCTTGAAACAAGGGTTTCACTCTTTAATAGAGGAGAGGTAAATGTTAGTTTGTCAGTTTCATACCTTCCCCACAGGGATGTCCTTTGTTCCTGCAGGGATGAAGATTCGTGCAAGGAAGCCCTCCTCAACAGATTCAAACCCCATGGTAGCTTTGTCTGTCTCTATCTCTGCCAGGAGATCACCCTCCACTACACGATCACCCTCCGACTTCTGCCAGTTCACAATAGTACCTGCCTCCATAGTGGGTGACAGTGCTGGCAGCGCGATCTTGTAGTGCATTGGCAGATCTGTTGCATAAAACCGCTGTAGAGAACATACCGGCTTCCGACGAAACAACTGTTGATGTCTTGTACTCACTTCATCAGTAATTTTTCTGAAAAAATAAAGGAATAAGACTCCTTAATAAGACTTCATTTTCAGTAAATGGTGAATGACTTAACAACAATATACCAATTTTTCAACAGGTTAATATATGTGTACATGTATCCGAGTAATTTCCAGTGTTAACCAATTGCAAGTAGACATTGCCCGAGGTATGAGACATATATATAGAAACACATGCATTATTTTTGCTCAACAGTTCATGTACATCAGAGCTGTCTGATAATAGTGACTGCCCAATGATCTGGTATGGTAGTATGTTAATTAGTGCTTAAATCTGTCATGATTGATAGTCATATTATCTATATATATAATATCATTATCCGTTCCTTCTTTGTATTTTTACCCTCAACATTATGTATATATATGCACTATTTATCATTGTAAGGACAGGACTTTCATTGGCTTTATGATATAAAATTGTTTCATGAAATAAAATGTTGTGAAATGAAAGCAAAATGAAGCATATTGATATAGATGTAATTCAAACCATTATGGTTTATTTTTCTTCATTAGACTGTTCCAAACATTTCAGCAACTCTCTTAACACTCTAGTTTTTAACTTTGATTTACATTGCCAAGATGTAACCACTGCATTTTCAATTTTTTCCTACTGAATTTTGAACATTTCATGTCTTGAAAAGTTAAATAAAATGAATAAATAACTGTGTACAATTAAAATCTGCCACACAACCTTTTTTAACGTGTTCGCCCTCAAACACCACAACCCAGGTTCTAACTCCCTGTCACCACAGGGAGATGCCACAGACACCATTTATAACAGAAAAGAGTATAGCCTGTTTCCTACAGGGATTGAACCCGCAATCCCCAGCTTCCTAGTCTGTCGCTCTACCGATATAGAGCTTAAGGGAAATTTCCCCATTAGTAATTAGTTAGTAATTATGCAATATATTGATAAAGATCTTGACACATCAAAACTCTTTTTGTAAAGCTGAACTTCATTCTCAAGTTTAGCTTGCCATGGTGGTCAAGTTGTACTGTCCTTTCATTTAGTCTTCTTCTTCCATAAACGGACGAATACTCCAAGGTTGGAGTGATAACTGTCCGTTCTTTCACCAAAAAGTGGGGAGTTAGGGTTCAGCTATCAAATTATGACAATACCAATCACCTTATATGTACATGAGAAGCCACTTGTTAAGTTGACATTCATCAAAAGTAATATAAACGAAACCAGACTCCATGATAAAAATAGATCTACTGTCAGTATCTGGAAACAAGTTTGAGGGGGGGGGGGGGGGGGGGGGGGGGGGGGTTAGTACCGGCTTATGTGTTTTTGTTACCTCATGTGCCAGTTGTGAAGTCTGCTACTGCGACTGCTGATGCATCTGACCACATTTCTGTTGGACTGACAGCATCGACGGAAAATACGGGCGATTTGTGGAGGACGATACATTATTAATCTCGGAGCAACGTGCCCCAATGTCAGCACCAATGACTGCCAATGTCAACTTTCGTAAAGACCCACTACTTCATTTAGTTTCGTAATAATTGAACGTAAGCCATATTAAACAGCATATTTCTGGTTTTGTTTTATGTAATTGTTTTGGATGATGATTTAAGGTAGAAAAAATACTGGATAATTAATAATACGAAACTAAAACACAATCATAAGTTCTCGCGAGATTCTCGTCTCCATGGTTTTGATTACAAATGGCTGCTCCCATACGTTTACACTAAGAGCTTCTGACCTAATAAGTTTTTAGCAATGCCTGGAGGTGAGATGGGTTCAATGTTTGTCTTAATTTTTGTCAAATGACGAACAATATGCAGGCTACCCGCAAACTTGTCTGGTCAATGAATTTTCAATGGGATTTCATTCTTTTGTCACACAATCCTACATAATGTCAAAGTAGAGTAACTGGTTTTGAAGGCAGACATAGCCTTAATTCTGTCAGTCTTTGTACACCAGTCAGACACCAGCTATATATTCATGTGCATGTGTCTGATACAATCAATTGTCAAAAAGTCTGGTTTTCGGACCAGATGAAACTCGGGTTAACATTATATACACGAGCTGAATTCAACACCTAGGCCTACTGTTGTTAAATTTTAATTTACGTTTTTATCTACTGTAAAGATGCAGATTGTTTTATTATTGTTATTGTTAATTTAGACAGATTCCAATATATACCAACCTGTGCTGAAGACATACAGTATACATTAGGGATGTACTAATATGCCTAAAATGTATCATAATATATTGCAATACAGAAGGAATGTATGGCGATATGTTTCCTGATAAAGGGACTCGATTTAAGTTGCCAGAACGGTATCAAACTGAACCATATATCATATAGATCAGGCATATTTAATATTATCATTAAAGCAACAATTCATTTTGAAATTTCAACTTATTAATTCCATTCCATAAGAATATGATAGCCTGTTTAGGGTTATTTGCATATATATATATCTGTTAGAATGTGAATAGGAATTTGCAAAATTAAAACACCTAGCAGCGACATAAGAAAATCCTATTGTTGTATATATACACTTGTAAACTCTAATCAGTTATGTTTTAATTCATTTTTCAGAAACCAAAAAAGACAAGAAGCAACAGGAAGATGATAAGCCAGTGATCCATTCTGGGGTCTACATCTTCCCTAATGGAGACAGATATGGTAGGGATTCATTATCATTCTGACAAAGGCACAAGATAACCGTGTCAAGGAAAGGATGTGATCAAGCATTCAATCTCCCTAAAATTTAAAATGTGTTTAACATGGAAACTGCTGTTGCCTTCATCATAACTTACCATGCATTCTAATAATACTTAAAAACTTCTTACATTATTTAATTTATTATACATTGTATGTAGTCAAATTCAAAGAAGATTTGTCCCAATTATATTAATTTTTATTTATCTCTCGCTGGAGGGGGTGGGGGTGTACTTGTTTTAATTTTTGTTAAATTAACTATCTAATGATTTTATTGAAAAATTTAGAAAACCCATTAAAAAACATATTAAAAATACTATTTTTACTATTTACCTCATTTAATTACCTTACATGTATACATTTTTTTAGAGGGAGAGTTTATCCACAGTGGTGATGGATCAGTAGAAAGGTCGGGTCAGGGATTACATACCACCACAGACGGAACTACTTACGAGGGCCAGTGGGGCTCTGATAAGATGAACGGACGAGGGAAACTGACCAATCCATCAGGGGCAATATACGAGGGATCATTCAATAATAACCAATTTCATGGCAATGGCAAATACACTTGGCCCAACAACTCTTATTATGAGGGTGACTTCCAGGAGAACAGGTTCAGTGAAATATATTACCTTCTGTGTATTACACTCTGGTCTCATATAGATTCATTTACTGTCCAGAATTTACTAAATGAATTAATTTGACACATTTCAGACCTCATTTTAACACTCTTGATGAGTCAACCCAGGAAACACAATGTCAAAACAACACTTGTAAAAAAATCTTCTGTTAACAATTTATGTATTTGTGTAATAACAATAATGGTAAGAACAACATTTACATGAATATTCTTAGCTGTAAATAGGGGGGGAAACGTCTTTGCAGTTTTTCTGAGACCCCTCATTGAGATTAGCGAAATGAGATGTGGCTTGTGAAAAACTGAATATTCATTGGATAATCACATAAAATTGAGTCAAATCAAGAGAAATAGACATTACTGTAGTAAAGAGTAATCAGGATTAGAACCATCCTTGACACTCCAGGGGCTACCATTATGTCATAACAATATGGAAGGCTCAGTATGAACAACCTTGTGGATGAGATGAGGACTCGTTTGATCCTTTAAAGTACATTATAGACTACTCAGTGTCCTTCCCAGAATGTTTTGAAAGAAGCATAGTAATTCAATATTTCTGTTAAAGCAGCACTCTATGTAAAATCAAAGCAGCATGGTAACTTCAGATTTACTATAAATATATAGCAGAGAAGATCTAGGATAGCAGCATGGCAAGAAATTATAGGAGCATGGTGCCATGCTGCAAAAACAGCCTGGGGAGAACACTGACTACTTATTAGTCTGGACCCATCCTCCAAGAGTAACAATCACTTATGCTCTTTGCATCCCTGGAATATATAGGTCATAGCAAAATTGAAGGCACATGAATCAAATGAGTCCTCTTGTCTCACCCACAAGTTGGCGCACACTGAGCCTTCAATGTTTGTCATGACATATATGCCAGGAGTGCAGAGAGCGTAAGTAACCACAGGAGTATTGAGGATGGATTATATCTATTTTCATATTGAATTTAAAAATATTTGACATATTCTATTTTTGAAGACATTACGTGTATCTCTCAAATTACATTAGACAGGAATTTGTTGCTATCATATTAAAATTTTATGAAATATGTTTGCTATATCTGCTGACTTTTCATTCACAGAATGGAGGGTGAGGGACAATTCACCGACACAGAAGGCCAAGTATGGGTGGGTACATTCAGGTACAAGGCTGCTCCAGGACTCAAGTTCAAACTAAACCTAGACTGATTAGTATTGTGTCAGAATCATAATGAATAAACGTGAACTCTTTATGAATTGTGTGTTCTGATGGTGAACAATTCCTGGATAATGATCAAGAATCCCATTTCTGATTGTTTAAACGAGCTTGAATTCATATTTGACTGAATTTGTCTTGGTGAACAAGTTATTAAGGATGTTCTAGAATCTAGTTTGGGATATTTAACAACTCATTGACGCACTGCAGATATTTTAAACCAAGGTTTATTGAAATTGTCAGAGTTATTATTTCATGGTGAACATGTTAACTGACACATAATGTATCATTAGGGTGAAACATCTTGGATTCAATTATGTTTGTGAAGTCATATGTAGGTAGGATACTGTTGAGCCTGTTTGATCATGGACAAATCACCAATGATCAGGTTGTCCCACTACCTGATATCAAGCCGTTTTGCAGCTGTGGTTACGTGGATAGATTGACCTTTTCTCTGTGCGAAATTTTCCTGGTAATCCGCCAACTTCAACTCGAAACAATGATAGCATGATTATATGTGTACATACATGTATATGGTTACATCTATACTTGGTAACAACATACAGGTATGGTATTCATGGTAGTTCATCAAATACAATTATCATTTTATTTAGGACTAAATACTACTTTCTTTTGTAAAAAGTTTAATATTTCAATATCGTAATAAATAATGTGATATACAGTTTATTTGTTGTTTTTTCTATGAAATGTCTTTTTAGAAAATTAAGAAATATATGTCAAATGAATAGATTGATTTACAAAAAATATAATACAAAGCACGTTAATATTTAATTATTATATACTAACTATAGATATTTGATGAATTTACAATCTGTAAACCTCATGTACATTGAAGTAAGATTAAATTGATGGTAAAAATCAGCCATGGCATGTATACTCTTTCAGGATTAGCATTGTAAAAAGTTTTAAATATGCTAGATACATGTATAATGATTCAAAAAGTGTATCAATGAAGCTATGTAACACATGATTGAACTTACTAGTTAGCAAATGAAGTTGATACATGTATTTTAACCCTTTCACCCCTGAGTAACTTCAGTAGACTCTCCCATGTATTGATATGGATGAGTCTATTATGGTCTACAGTGGTGAAAGGGTTAAAACGAATTTGAATTTGATCATTAAATCATATTTCAACCAAGTTCTATCATGTATTGGATCTTTTGGTCAATACAATTTCCATAGTAATTTTATTTAATTTTTTGAAAGTCATGATTTCATTTGGAGAGTTATTTCCCTTGTACAATGTCTACTTATTGAAGTAATGGATACTGTTGAATACAACTTACAAGTGAGGGCAGGTATCCTGATGATTACTGTCTTACATCTGTTAAAATACCCTCAATAATGTAAGGGAAATCAACATATTAAGGTAGATAGTAAGCTTTCTATAGAACTACAAAAGGCACTGCCTTCCCTTGTAGACAGGTTGCAGTTTATTGTTTGTGTTTTTTAAGCTGTTTTGGCATTTGTTTCCACTTTTTGATATCACCTATCAAATGTTATAAAGAATTTCAATATTCATAGCTTTCAAACTTTGAAGCAGTATATATAATGCAGTTCAACTTTCAGTATAAATATGTTATATCATTTATATATTCAGATAGTTATTTGAACAGGTGAAATAAGCATGATTATGTAAATCTTTTCATGCCAAGCAATTGTATGAATGGTTATTAGGAGGTGATCTCAATACAACTTAAGAGTTAATACATAGGAAACAAGCAAGACCCCAGATGCAATTCTAATAGCATGATTGTGTTGTCTCATTATGCCCAGCAATGTGTATAGATGGTTATGGGATTGGATATCAATTGTTTCAATGTTATGACCCAGGGACTAAGTCTCGATGGGTGGGCCGAGACCCCAGTGCAATCCTAGTAGCTTGTGTGTAATCTTTTTAAAATCAACATTTGTATATAAGGTTACAGAGAGGGAATCTCAAATGGTTCTAAGTTTTGACCCGGAAACAAAGTCTCTAGGAGTGTTGCCATATCTCGGGGTCAATACTTATATCATGATTGTGTTCATTTCGCAATGCCAAACAATTGTATATGTGATTAAGGGGTGGGTATCTAAAACGTTTTAAAGTTATAGCCTAGGGACTAAGTCTTCAAGGATGGGGCCTGACACGAGAACAATCATGGAAGCATATTTGTGTTTGTCTCTTTATGCTCATCGGTTGTATATATGGTTAAAGGGTGGAGATCGAAATCACTTCATTTTGGCCCCAGTACTCATCCCTTCAACTGGTACATATTTGAAACCCGATCACCTGGAAATGCTTCCAATCAATTAATATGTATCACTATAAGTTCACAAGAAAAAGTTCCTCATCCCCGCCATTTAATTGTATTTAATTTTGAATTTCTGCCACCTGAGAATGGTTCAAATAAAATTTGGTTTAGAAGTCGTTTGAGGAAATTGTTGACGGACGGACTAACGACCGATGCCAAGGTACGGCATAAGCGCATCTTGGTCCTAAGGATAATATGGTAAAATGGTAAAAGTCCTTGGGAGAGGGTAAGCGAACAATCAATCCTTACATTGACGTTATAAATAACTCTGAAGAACCGTATTAGAATCATGAACTTTAGTCTATGTTTCTCCACATCCCTTTAATTTAAACTGCAATGCAACTAAATATGCCTACGGATATGGCTTACATTCTCAATGGTGTGTCTTTGGTCTGGTCTATGACTTTGCTGAAGGCGATACCTGTTTAATTTCTACAGACCAGTTTGGAGATCTAGAGCAGACCTCTCAATAAAATCGTGCTACAAGTTGTGTTTGACTAGTGTTGTCTGCAGAGCAAACACTTAACAACCGAGGTTGGCCAGATACTGTTGCTCAGCTGAAGAGTTTGGCAGCTAAAGGTCTAATTCCAGTCTAGCATGTTGTACTTTCTCGTCCACTTACATACAAGAACCACGAGGGAATTAAATTGTATGGACTGTGATGATTGCCAGAATGACGATAAAAATTATAGGTGTTTTCAGTGCATAACCACAGGGAAATATACATTTTCAACTCGCCTGCATCGAGTTAGCATATGCCCTAGTGCATTGTGTGTCGTTTGGCACCTACTTTTTACTTTAAACGCCTGCTTCCGAATAACAAGAGGCCAGTGACATGCCGGAAAGAAGGACTGTTTACTTTGTCCAAATGAATGTTTTTAACCGACGTTTAGGATTATAAGGGGCCACAGTAGTTAAAACCTTTAAATGACTTCTGAATGATAAAAAAAAATGGGATGATGCGATATGCCATGTAGGATGCTGGCCATCCAGTTCGTTTAAATTAAATTATCTTGACCCATTTTCAAGGTCATATGGATTTAATTTCATTCTCACCCTTCGCCAAGGGCCAGCATTAAGGTAAATGGCGGGGTGTTTGTAAAGATCTCAGCTGGCATTAATGACTTGAAATGAGAAAACGGTTTCGTGATTGTTCCATCAAAAGTTACAGTTCAGGAGTTAGTGAACAAATTTGACAATTCCAAGGATAAATTACATGAAATAACCAGTTGTTTGTTACAAAACCTACCGTCCATTATCGGGGCTATTACACAAAAACGCATCTTTAGATTTCGGCGAAGGTCCACTTCAACGTTACCAACAGGAATAAAATGCAAAACTAAATAAATAATATTTTACGCTTCAAAAACTGTCATCAGTAGCTTGGACATTTAAAAGGGTGCTGGACCGTGTAATGGCATGCTACCATTGTTAAGGATATTGAAAAACGTCAAGGGGAACTATGAAACGTTGTAGCCCAGTGCAGTATTTCTATTATATACTTTACGACATGTAAAATGCAACACGTGATACCAAGAGTCGTTCCGACAGCTGCTAGCACAGAGCAGCCAAGTGTGGATTTAACCTGTGTTCAGGGGAAGAGTAGTGCAGAAAGCGAAGTTTCTGACAGCGACAGAGGCTGGAAGCGTCTTAAATCAAACAGGAATTAGATTCCAATTCAAGTCATTCCGAGATAGCGGTACAGAGTGAGGAGTCTTAAAAACTAAGACCAACAGCTTTTGTATTGTCTACTCAACGTCGAACCTTTGCTTGGACCTAGGGTGTGACTTTGATTGTTGGGTGGAAAGGTTCGAAGTATGGACTTTTCCCCTACTTTATTGGGGGAAGGTTAATTGGCTGTATACCAGGGTCTAAAAGCGAATCAAAACAAGGATATGGAAGAATTAAAGAAACAATTCAGAAGAGTATATGTCTAAGAAGCCAACTTGTAAGGCCAATTTACATTCCGGGGAACGCAATGCAGGTGGGAATCTCGCAATTTACGCTGGGAAGCTACATGGCGTCTTTCATGGCGTGTCTACCATATATACAAGAATGAGGCAATGGGATATGTGGTTTTAACACAATTTCTAGCTGGGACCGGAGAAATAGTACGCAAGGTGAGTAATAAGGATCAAAAGAAGTAAAATCAGCTCGGGAAAACACCAGTAGGTTGGAAGTTCGCCCAGATTTGGAGAAACATACAGTACCTGTGAGACAAGAAGAGGCTCAGTCAATGTCTGAATTGCAGGCCAATTTGATGACAACTAGGAACGAAAGCATTGATGCCTTTAGTCGAAGGTAGTTGCGATGGCTGTATCCTCTACCAAAGGACGAACTGGTAACAACGTATTTGATGGAAAAAAAATCAACTGTGGAGGAAAAGGTAATTTGTTAGAGATTTCCCTTCGTCGAAGTCAGACGGGAGGTCCCACAAGGTCTGGGCATAGTTGGAAGAGCCAGGCAGACCAGAATGGACATGCATGTAAGAAAGATTAAGGATTGGTTAAAGAAACTGGCAACGAGGATTTAAACTTAGGACGCCTTACACCTGCCCCATGGTGTTCAGCACTGGCGGATCGGGCGTTGAAATGCACAAAAAAGTCAGTTAAGGAGAGGCAAGATCGGGTAACTTCACTATGTCAAGTTCTGTTAGAAGGAATGGATGCCAAAGCTCTCATTGAAACTGGATAAGTTCAATAAGTGGGGCTTTTCTTGAGAGGCAGGAGGTCATGCGAAGTCGCAAATTAGGCAGAAACATTACATGACGAGCTACCTCTGTGAATGATGATGAACCCATTGACTTGTTAATCCAAGTGAATGTGACAATAAGAGAAACGATGTTATTTTTCCATTTTATGAAGCTCGTGAAGCCACATATCCTACACTTCTTGGTTTGAATTTTATTCAGAATTGTGGACTTGTAACTGGCAGTAAGAAAGCCTAAGATTTAAAGCCAGAAGTCAATGCATTAATTCCTAAGTGGTGGGCTTTCCCGCGAATGTCTTTTTGCTAAAGCCTGAATGACCCAAACTATTCAAGCCAGGAGCAAGAAAGTGATTGAAGTCACTCTTGAGCCAGGACAGAAATCTGATGTGGTATTGAATAGCTTCACTGGTGTTTTGGAACCGATTGGAGGAATTACAAACCGAGATGATGGCCTACTAGTGGCGCGAACTGCTGGTTTGACAAAGGGAAGAACTAGGTTAGTGAAGGCGATAAATGTGTCCTCAAGTGCCTTTACTCTACTGCATGTGAATTTTATCGGATCATTCAATGCAGCCTTCGAGAAAAGAGCTTTCATTGCCAGAGTCTGGACAAACAAGATATTTTTTTTCACAGTGGATAAGTATGACATTGGTGCAGTAACCTTCAACAGGCCAGGAGAGAAAAGTCAATCTCACCCGGCTATGGATTGGGATAGTGGCTTGTAACTGGCTCGGAAAAGACAAGGAGACGATGCATTGCTTAAACGCTTCAGTGACATAGTTAAAAAATCGGTGTCACAGAGAGGTTTTAACAATTCATTGATACTGGAACTGAACCACCCATAATACAACCACCACAGAGGGTCCCTGGAACATCACACGAGGAATTTCAGAAAATTGTAAACAAGATGTTGAAGGACCAGATTTATCCAGCCAATTACAAATCCCTGGATTAGCTCTGTATTCTTTTTCGGGTCCTTACGGTTTTGTGTAGACCATTGTCGACTGAACGCGATAACTAACAAGAAAATGCAGCAAAGCTGCTGGACTCCAAATCTTTTTTAATGAAAATGACTTACTGATAGTCCAAAAACTTCGCAGGAACGGATCCTTCATACATGAATTATTTAGATTATGATTATCTTATAAATTGTTAATGACATTAATTTTATCGTTCAGAATATTCCATTCACGCTCAATATCCTTACATTTTGCACTTATGTCACTCAATAGTTATACCACAGCTAGGAAATGTAATTTTTTTAAATCTAAATGCACGTTTAAATGTCAATGATTAGGTAATAACGTCATCTACTGAGAAAGAGAAGCAGCGATTGTTATAAATATTTCTTTTGACAATGTACCTCTGGATAAAATAGTAACCGTCTTCTGGGTCAAAGCGTCAATCAGAACCATCCCCACTGCAATATTGCTGTTTGCTGCTATTATTTGGTAAGATTTCCAGACAAAAATGATATAAATAGAGTAGTTATGTAAAAACAATAATGTATGCATAGGTGGAACACACAACCACTTAATCTGCGTCACTTCATCTTAACTTGAAACTATCCTATAAATATGCGTTATCCTGGTTGCCAATAATCAGTGGTGAGAATGTTGCACTGGCTGACGTGGCAGTATGTGACCGCTACGTCAAGTCTTGCAGCATAGATCTATCCACTGAATCATTGAGGCAGATCCAAATATCCGGTGGATCAAACAAGCTTTTCCATGTAGCCGTCCTGTTCTTCAGGCTAAATCTGGCTCCTGTTCACGAGGGAATCTTTTATTTTCGCAAATGGGTATTCGATGAAGGACTTCAGCGTTTACGAGTAGTTGTCTCTTCAGACTGAGCAAAGAAAGTGTTACATGAACTACATAACACGTTCCCATTTGTGACAGGAAAATAATTTGGCCAAGATGTTTTGGGGAGCCCTCGAAAGGTTAGCGGGAACATCCGAGTTTGCCAAAACTATGTATCATCAGATGGAGCTATGACTCTATCCGTTATAATTTAAGTTTTGCTAGTGGGAAACAGAAATTCCAGTACGACAAGACAGTGACAAGAGTGCCCTACGGGATTCTGTTATGCTATATATAAATACGGTGGTTAAACGAGGCAATGTCAAGAAACTGGAACAGTTGTAGACGGGTCCCTATGTCATAGTGGAAACGGTGAATGAAATACATGTGAAATAAAAATGTAGTATATAAGCTGGAAGGCTATTTCGGAAGGATGAATCTTGCAAGGCACAAAGTGATAAACAGGCCCTTCATCGTAACCGATTGAAGCCGACACAATGGATCAAGGAGCATGGACAAGAAAAAGGGTTCTTTCCAATCTGGGGCAGGTGATCCAGAACCAATTGCTCATCCGCCTCCAGGCCGTGTGATGCGCCATCTGCTAGACATCCCGTTTGAGAGGCTTCCTGTCTATCAAGACAGACTAGCAGAGACAGGAGAAGTGAAAAGTGAAGCTGAAGAGAATTGGTTGGCGATACCCAACCTAGGTGCAGATCCTGGTATAGACAACAAAGAGGAAAATATGTTAATCACATCCGATATTGCATCGGACAGGGATGAACTAGATGTCTTTTCTCTTAGGTTCACTCGAGGTGGACGGGTCACTCGGAGACCTGTCATCAAGAGTGATTTCCACATGTGAATATTTTGATAGATTCTTAAATTGTAATGGTTTTAACTGTAAATACAAACACGAGGACATGTTTTTTCCAAATATGGAGGAATGCAATGTCTTGAGGTGTGCCGGAGGAAAGAGAAAGAGAGGTGCTGAAGCGAATGACAGGAAGGGAGCATGTTTTTGAACTAGAGTAGCGGGGTAGAATATTTAACATATGTAATTCTAGATATGATGCAATATTTCAAAATATATAAAAAAAAGAACAACACAAGATAATTATTTTTGTTTCGTTTTTAATCATAGTAAAAGAATAAATAAAATATACAAACAAATTTGTTCAATGTAATAGTGAATGCCGTCCACATGATTTATATGATAATAGTAAAAAAAACAATGGACAGCTGAGATCCATGAAGGAATAGCAGGTTCACACCCACACAGGTACCCGACCCATGAAAATGATGGTAGGTCCGTACTCACACACACACAAAACACAATATGTATACCTCTTACAAAAAATTGGATCCAATTATTCAGAATTTTATGCTTTGTTATTTTGTATTCAAGTTTATATAATCGCCAATCTATACTTATTTTTTTTTTTCTCATTCCCAAAAAATCTCATAATTCTACTTTGGTTACAGCCACGACAAGGTTGGCTTCCAGCAAATGACAGTTCATGGGCGGAAGTGTGCAAGATATTCTAAATACCGGTGCGCTCATGTTCCGGGTATATGAAAAGTTATCCACCACACAGAAGATAATTATATATAACAAGATAATAACGATGTACCTATTTCATCTCGGTGAACATTATCAAAATGACAAATGTGAGATAAAATATGTCTTACAAATACACATAAAGGGCAAATAACAAAAACTATACATGTAGCGGAACCGTATCACGTGGTTTACGTTTCCGTAAAAATAATAAACCAATCCGTGATCATGTGTTTTGAAAATGTTTAATAACTTCTAATGTAGTCCACCAGGAATATGTGCTCACGAAAACAAAGAGGTCTACAGTATAATGTCAAACGTGAATTTCCATGCATATATCAAGGGTACATTTCATTTCTAGAATTGCATATAATGTAATGTATGAATATAATAAAGAATTATAACATAGTCACCTCATTTCTGTCAGAACCAAAAGCATATTTGTTTCAAGTTTCATCACTACAAGAGAAAACTTCTAGTAGATCTACAGGAATTTTATAAAAAAAAATCACCAACATTTCAGTAAAACATTGGAAACTGTTGATCTCCCCATATCGCATCAACCTATACTACAAAATGGATGATCAGTGCTATGTTTTAAAAAGGGATCTGTTTTTGCCTTATTCCATTTTCCGGTATATATACAAGAATTGAAGAGACTTAAAGCATAATGCTGTTTTAGTGTTACCTTTTGACTTTTTGATCATTTGACATGAATTAAGCGAGTTACAAGAACATTTGTTTGAGCACAGAGTTCATGTTTGAGCATGAGAACGGTTTTATGACTACGGGCCCGGGTCTATCCCCGCTGAAGTTTTAACACTCATAACTCAGTTGTTGATTATATTTTGTTTATTTTACCTTAATTATTTTCATAAAATCCCTAGAAGATATGGTTTCCTTTTCAGAAAATAATTTATCAAAGCTACAGTCACGCCAGAAAAATAGTTTCCGATGCGTGATTACAATTTCAGGTAGTGGTACGGGGATCCTTAAGTTGGATGGAAAGCATAGTATTGGTAGGGAAACTAGAAACACAGATAGTGTTGACCCTTTACACGTCATATCCTCACACACAAAATGTTTTAAGAAAAAACATAACTATATACGTGATAAAATGTTATAACAAACCAACATTAAAATGGTCGAGTGTAGACAATTATCATCACACTCCATGTATCTGTAATCAATTCTTTCCTACATTCTGTTTACAGCCGAATAGCGCTTACATTTCGCGGGGCCAAACCCTCCAATAATTGTTTTCCTAAAAACAACTCACGGGATTTAGTTCTGCTAATGGTCAAATAATCCTAACTTAATTCAGATTGACCACTAGAATGTTAATGTATGTACAGGTTTAATATTTAGGTTGTTTTTTTTTTCAAAACACAGCTCTAGTGAAAATAAACCCCCGAGAAACATTAGCGCTAGGCCCCTTTACAGAATATTTTTTATGAACTATATGCTGATAATAAACCGCGTAATGTATACTCGTATGTACATTGGAATAAATTGCTTAAGAAATCGATTATAAATAACTTAGTATATATACCTTGATCGATTTTAATTCAATACATATAAACAGTTTCCTGTTCAACATAATTATGTTAGGACACACGTTTCTGATGAAGTCAATATCATGACTTAAATAATGCACATCTACTTATATCACTATTGTGAAGCCAGCCTTTGAAATATTAATAAGACGCAAGGAGAGCTCGAACAGTATTCATGAAACCGCTCTCCTGCTCAAACTCGGATTCTGTGCTAAAGCCCAATATCTTGTTCCGGTGATAACTTAAGAACAAAACACAATTTGTTAAGAATTTGAATTAAACCGAATGTCGCTTTAAATGGCTACACAGGACGTTTTGACTGTATCATGATTGTAATGGCTACACAGGACTTCTTGACTGTATCATGATTGTAATGGCTACACAGGACTTCTGGACTGTATCATGATCTGAGTGCGTTAAAAGAAATTTGCCTTAAGCACAGAATCCATGCTTGAGCACGAGAAATTCGGATCCTGATTTTTATATATTTTAATCCTATGGATATACCCACATTACACGACACAATGTTAGATCTACATGGTTTATATTCAATGAGGGTAGGGGATGTAACAATTATGAAAACAATCTTAATTTTACAAAAACACCATGCAAAAGTGTTATTTCAGTAAAACATGATAAAAAAACCCATCACAAATCTGTAAATGCATGGTACAATGTACAGTTTGATATTCTCCATACGGTATGTATTACACCTAAGGCATTAATATACCTCAGCTCTCACACTATCAAGTTTTCCCCCGATCATAATTTCCTTATTTGGAACCTGTCTAGAAAAATCTGCAACTCAGTTGTGAATGACGGAAGCAGACGACTTTACGACTGCGCGTGAAACCTGGTCATTTCTACCAATATGTTATTATTTTCGATTTATTCATTTATTTATTCGGCATAATAAAATATTTCCTGTCCTGGCAGTAGAGAATCACGATCCTTTTTTTTTCTCGCTTCGCCTTCGTGGAACGAGATTAACATCGGAGAAGCACAGTAAGGGCAAATGTATCACATTCCTGTGATGCTAAGTAAGAGTTATTTCTCTTCAGGTTATAGGCGACCTTACACACTTAGGCTATGATTTGGTTTAGAATCCTTGTCCTTTAGGAAATTGTACCTGGTAATTACATGTGTAATTTGTGTTAGAATTACTGTACTTTCTAGGATACATGCCGTCTAACACATTATACGTTTACTTTGTGTTAGAGTTATAACCCTTATATTAAAAGATATTTATTCAATAAATATTGAATGTGATTGTGTTTCAGGTAATCTGTTTTTTTAATATTATCTAATCATTTCGATTAACTTTTTAAGTATTTCAGAATGGCCTCAGCATTATAAAGGCGTGTATTGTGGATTACAAAGCAAGTGACTAGTAAGCTTTAAGGATCACTGTCCCGTTGAACTGCCGTTTTTCCTAAATGCAGTATCCTCTCCTATTAACTTCCGTTTGGATATTACTGTAGCACATATGGGCTCATACACTTCCGTTGTCCAGGTAGCTCAGTCGGTTTCAGCGGTGATATATAACCATCTGAACTTAACTTAATCTCATTCGGTAATCAGTTGCTCTCGTATAGAGTGTATGTTGTCCGTATCTAACTATAAGGCGCATTCTTCTACTGAGACAAACGATTCAATATATTCTTTTGTCGGAAACTCAAGAAACTGAACTAGCGACGTTCCACTGTATACACAAACCAAGGTGTCCGGACTAGACAGGTTCCACTGTATACACAAACCAAGGTGTCCTGACTAGTGAGGTTCCACTGTTTACACAAATCAAGGTGTCCGAACTAGAAAAGTGTCACTGTATACACAAACCAAGATGTCCTGACTAGTGAGGTTCCACTGTTTACACAAATCAAGGTGTCCGGACTAGCGAGGTATCACCGAATACTTCCGTAGGCACTTGCATGGAATGAGATACGCTCCCGCGTGTAAGTGTTCCCTTTACTAGCATAAGGTATTAGATTGCAGTTAATATTAGTTGTGATAACTAAGTGATATTCATGGGAAATGTCTATATCATGGAGTTGTACGCGTGTTTACCAAGTGATATCAGACAGTGATAAATGTTTGTTACACGGTCTTGCATGCACGTCGAGTTTATCGTGCGATACATTGAAATGTCCATCTTAAGAATATGAACATTTGTTAATCAAGCGATATTTTACGGAAGACACAATGCATCTATTTCACAAACTTGTTAGTCGAATTTGTCATACAGCAATGGGATTTTGTCTATACCAAGGACTTGTACAGTTGTGAAGGAAGTATTAAGAGTTGGATATGTAAATTTCACGGACTTGTACGCCATATTTATCATGCATTGAACGAAAATCCAATGTCTACTTCACAGACTTGTACAATTGTTACTCTGGTGATGGGAGATGTCTATTAACGTACTCCAACGCCGAACTAATGATGTAGTTAATAGGTTTAGTCTGTACCGTCGTTACGGATGTGAAATTAATGGGACACGCCTATTCATGCAGTAAATGTGAATCGTCAACAGGTATTTCACGGACCGCACCCGGCCATTTCCGTGAAATCCATCATGCGACGGAAAAGGGCAAATTGTGAAGGAAGTGATAATAATAGGAAATAATCATACGCCAACTGTGAACTATTTATTTCACGGATCTGTACGGTTGTTAATAATGTAATATCAATGTGAGATGTTTATTTCACGAACTTAATACGCCGACCTATTCATGCGGTGAATGAGAATTCTCTTTTTCAATGACTTGGACCAAGCTCGGGCATTTCCGTGAAATCAGGCCTAGGCATGCGACGGAAAAGGGCGAATTGATCCGATGGGTACGCGATGTTAACCAAGTGATGTTGATGGGGACTGTCTACATAATAAAATTATATGCTGAATTAATCATGCAATATTCGGGGTTGTCTGTTTTCCATTGATTTGTTATCGTCTGAACTATAAGCAATATTATTACGCGTTGTCTATATGACAGACTGCTGATCTATATTAAGCAAAATGATGCTTTACTAGATTCACTTCCAAAATTTCTGTCTACATTTTTTTCTCACGAGATTACGTTTCTCGCAAGATAACAAATTGATAAACAATAAAATAAACAAAAATAGTAACATATAAAAAGGTTAAAGAAATGGGGAAAATTCTCAAACGGTAGTAACTGTACACCGCATGTCTTAACACTTGATTTTCACGGTCAATTATGGAAGTATTTGCAATTAGGCTGCATCAGGTTTATCCAGAGGATTAGTTATTAACAATTCATAACACACACTTAACATTACAAGTGTTGCTCTCCGTTTCTACGGCAAGGCATGCATACATAGAGACGAATCCATCCTTTATAGTCACGTGACGGCCGGGGCGTGTCTCCTGCGGTAGCGTGTATGATAGCACAGGTCTACACTTGGCGTTGTTGCGTGAAAATGAACTTTTCTGGAATAAACAACATTAAATCAACACTGTTACTCTAACCACAGTAAGATAAACATAACCTATATATTATATAACACCTATAATTTATTACTAATGACAGTTCTTATAACACGTAAATTTACGAATTGAACGGTATTTTTTTATTAATTGAAATACCTCTCAATTGCTATGAATACGTTTCGTATTTCCATATGAGCCTTCCCAACCTTGTGTGTGGATACATCCACTAGTGGTGGAATACATTTTGTAAATACAATATTTTCACCTATTTAACATTATTCACTTCGTTCCCGGCGTAAATATTGTGGAATAGTCAACCTTTCGCCCTCAAATTCAACGGGAGTCAAACGCGACGTCCGTATTGTTTATTTTTTGGCCACGTTCGTATTACAATTCATTTCGGTTCATATTGTACCAAGTTTACTTGTTTTACATAGTAACATTGCAGCGCAAATGTAAACAAAGGGATATGAACGCCTTCTGATCATAGTCATTTTGAAGCTTTTCCTCCTGCATCGAATAACGCGAGATAACTGTTAAATGCAAAACATTTTGGTGAAGTTAGGCTGTTACAGGAATCTCGTTTGCACTTACTACACTCTTCAATATAGAAAGTATAAGGGGATACCTATACTTTAATCAATAACATCTATAAAATTCAGAATGTAAATATATGTATTGATAAGCTTTTTTTCAATGTTCATGTTGGTATGAATGCGAATCAGTTACATACATATTTACCATGAAGCCACAAAACATTTCGTTCAATCCTTATTTACAATGCAATGATACTGTTTTATATTGAATCTGCATATTCTGGACGAATCTGATTTACATAAACTTTCTAGAAGCTACTTACGCTAGGTACCCACGCTAGACATGCTAGGCGTCAACTCTGTCGTTGTACTAAAGTCGTCAATTATGGGCGGGTCTCCCACTGTAAAAACATAGAAATATATTAATATTGAAACAAAAACTGTAAAAGTAAAATAAAAAATATATCAATTTTGAAACAAAAACACATCACGCCATCGATTGAACATTTCTGCTATTCCTTGATTCTGACAGGGAAATATTAAATTGAGAAGTAACAGGCGTAATCAATAAAACAGATAGCAGTATTGCGTTGAGAAATGCATTCCTAGGCGTTGCAGCAGGTGGTAAGTATTGTTTCTGAATGGCGTGTTATCATGCAAGCTTAATGCCCAACATAATCAAAACGTTCGACCTATGTGGTCTTGGATGGGAACAATCTTTTCCTGCTTCAATTGGAAAAGTAGATAGCCTACAACCACAACAAGCTTGACTTGGTTTGGTTTCAACAGCTATGGTCATTTAATGACGGCCTTCCCTGTGTGCAAGATGTATGCGTGTTGTGCAAGATGCATGCGTGTTGTGCAATATGCATGCGTGTAGTGTATGCGTGTGTGTTTTGGGAGGCTGTGATATGTTCGTGTTTGTCTCCCTGTGATAGCGTAGAACCGATGCCGACTTTATAGTGCTACCTCACTAAAACATACTGCCGAAGACACCCAGTAGGACACCCCACCCGATCACATTATACTGACAACGGGCGAATCAGTTGTCCCACTCCTAAATTACTGAGCGTAAAGCAGGAGGAGAAACTACCATTTTTACAGACTCTGGTATGTCTCGGCCAGGGGGTGGCATTTCATTTCAGAGTTTCTTTTTTTTTGCAGTCAGACTGCCACTTTTTTTAATATTAATGAGGTTGACGTCAGCCACGTGCCGAGATCCGTGGTGTGATTGACTGGAAGTGCAGCCATTTTTCGCTAAACCATCCAACACTGCATGTTTCATCACGCGCTGACTTCAATATCATTAATATAAAAAAAGTGGCAGGCTGACTGAGAAAAATTTTGAAACTCTAAAATGGCGTTTGTTTTTCGAGGAAACGGAGTTCATGTTCACTGAAGGAGAATACATTTTACGTGCATATAGGAGGTTTTTAAAAGAAAAGTTATCCATCTTTCTAACGGTACTGAGCATTTTTCAGTAGATCAACTAGAAATGTTGTTTTTGATGTAAGAAAGTTAGGTTTGGTCGACATTTCGACATCGATATTTTTCAACCCTTCACGGTATATGATCATTGGAGGTGTCATTTTTACCGAAAATCTAACACCCCCACCCCCAAACGTGTAAAATCTCTTAAGACCAAACACCTTAGTTTAGGTCCAAATATAGCTGTAACAAATTATCAGGTCCCTCCATCATGCTATTCCCCTTCTTTACGGGATATAGTTTCCGGACTATTTCCCTGTTATACATTACGCCGATATCACATGCCAAACTATCATGCCACGTAGACGGAGCCAATCAGGTGATAGCTGGTTGGAGCTAGCATTCGACATTGACCTTCACGCGTGTTTTCATCGGTCGAGACGTCATTGCAGACATCGATTAGAAAGTAATTTGATTTCCGGTAGGTTTTCTGATCTTCTTTTTTGCAAATATTGTACAAATATTTGGTGCGATTGTTTGTATGTTGTGATGTTTTGTATGTTTGAGATGTACTGATGCACAGAAATATTTAAAGAAATAAATAACTAAATATGAGCTCCTCCTTGTTTAGGGTTATTCCGGTCATTTCCCATGGTGAATAACACGTGTTTACCGACATTCAAATAGTTACAAATTATCAGCTTTGTAGCATAGACATCTGCCTGGCAATTCCTACTAATTACCCCAATGGTGCCACAATCAGCAAATAATTACATTTGTGACCCAGTCGTAAAGTAGTTATCCTAATGTTGCTCTGTCAGTGTGTTCTGGAATGTTTGATGAGGTTCGCCGAGAACATATTTGTGAAAGTATATGTCTTATCCAATTTACTAAATGGCCATTCACTCGAGGACATGACTAGTTACGATTCCGATAAAACAGATCATTAGCATAATCAGTCCGCTTCACGTGGATGACAAATCTCCTGAAAGCACTGATAACGAATGTAAAAAGCTGAAGAAGATTAGGAAAATTGATGTCTTCTTATCCGACCCCTGAATATTCCAACCTCATATTTACTCCAATGATGTTATGTAATCGCCGTTCTAGAGATACAATTGAAAACCTCTGTCCCAACTTCCTGAAGAAAGTTTGACGAGTCTCAGAATATCGACGTATTGACTAACACAATAAGCTTCTGTATCGAATGCAAGTTCAAATAGAACGAGCATACCGAGTATTGTTAAAGCAATACATGTCCCCTACCGGCCCCCGCTAGCTATTACACTGTAATGATTTATAAAAATGGTGCCCTTTGGTGTTAATTAGGGAAAATGAAAAGTATACAATTAGCTTGTAACTGATTTTAATGTCATTTTTCTATTCTACATTACCGTCAATCATATTGTAAAAAATATCAAAATAAATGAATTTCCAGGTATACTGTATATTACATACACATTTGACACTTTAAGTTCAGTAATGAACCGATTATATCGATTATGGAATTTGTTATCGATAATCGGAATCGAACAGGACACATCGATCGATGTTCGATTATTATATATCGATCATAAGTCCATCACTGGCTTCAACTTGGCCAGGATTTTGTAATAATAGTAATGGTGGCCTTGACCTCAACTCTACAAACCTGTAAATCAAACTTGTCCGATATATTATGGTACTTTGTAATTTGTGTGAAGTGTAATTAAAATCCCTCAATGTATGGAGCCGCAAGAGCGCTGACAAAGATTTTCTAAAAACAGTAACGGTGACCTTGACCTTGACCCGACAACCCTGAAACCCAAACGTGTCTGAGCTATTATGGTACTTTGTAATTGTATGCAGTTTGATCAAAATCACCTCAAGGAATGAAGCCGCTAGAGCGCTGACAAGAACTTTCTAAAAATAGTAACGGTGGCCTTGACCTTGACCCAACAAACCTGAAACTCGAGCTTGTCCGAGTTATTATGGTACTTTGTAATTGTATGAAGTTTGATCAAAATCACCTCAAGGAATGAAGCCGCTAGAGCGTTGACAATGATTTTCTTAAAAATAGTAACGGTGACCTTGACCCAACAACCCTGAAACTCAAACTTGTCCGAGGTATTATGGTCCTTTGTATTTGTGTGAAGTTTGATCCAAATCCCTCAAGAAATGAACCGCTAAAGCGCTGACAGTCATTGGTGTTATATACTTACGTACGCATACGTATGTACACAGACGATGGGTAGAGGACTGATATAGGTGCATGGCTACGTACATGTAACATTGCATGTCAGACCATCGTTTCAACTGGTAAAGAACTTTCCCCGAAGACTTAGCTGCAGACAGTATCCCACCAATTAAATCACGTCTTAATTCTACTCTACAGCACACCGAACAGAGCTGGTGCCACAAAAGTCTCAATAAACCTTTTAGATAACAAGAGGCCCAGAAGGCCTGTATCGCTCAACTGAATATTTAAGCAGTCATAGCAAAATATTCCCATTAAGTACTATATTGCACTACAAATATTTCCCTCGCAAACTTTGCTGGCTCCATCTGTTGAAACTACCAGCCAAATATTATTATAAGGTTCTATGCTTTTTGGTTCTTCTTCAGAATTTGTTTGACATATTTTTCTCTATGACCATGTAAGTAGGTCAATGTCTTTTTCCGTCTTAAACTTTGTTAGCTCTATCCCAAAAAGCTACCAGCCAAATCTTATGAATCCATTGAAATGTTGTTGACCTCTGTGACCTTTAAAGTAGGTTGAGGTCATTTTCATTTGTAAAATTTGGTGAGCTCTATTCCAGGAAGCCACTTGCCAAATAACATAATTGTATGCCTTTCGATTATTCAGAAGTCGTTTGATGTTTTTGACACATTTGACACCAGTGACCTTGAAAGTAGGTCTAGGTCATTTTCTTTCTCAAACTTTGTCGGTCTCTATCTCAGGAAGCCAACAGCCAAATATGAAGGTTCTACATCTTTTAGTTCTTCAGAAGAAGTCGATTGAAGAGTTTGACATAATTGACCGCTGTGACCTTGAAAGTAAGTCACGGTCAATTTGATTCTCAAACTTTGTCGGGCTCTATCCCAGCCAAATATGAAGATTCTATACCTTTTAGTTCTTCAGAAGAAGTCGATTGAAGTGTTTGACAGATTTGACTCCTGTGACCTTGCAAACAGGTCAAGGTTATTTTCATTCGCAATCTGTCGGGCTCTCTCCCAGTAAGCTCCGAGCCAAATTTGAAGACTTTATAGCTTTCAGTTCTTCAGAAGAAGACATTTGAAGCGTTGAAATATTTGACTCCTGTGACCTTGAAAGAAGGTCAAGGTCATTTTCGTTCGCCAACTCCCAAGGGAGCCACCAGCAAAATTTGAAGGTTCTATACCTTTTAGTTCTTCAGAAGAAGTCGTCTAAAAGGAAAAGTTGACGGACGAAGGACGGACGACGGACACGGCGCCATGACATAAGCTCACTAGCCTTTCGGGCAGGTGAGCTAAAAAATAAGAACCAATCAAACTTGTATCGCTCACCTTAAAAAAAATGGCGAAATATTCTCATCGTTATTACATTGAGTAAAATAGCAAACATGCATTTGCCAAATATTTGCTCTGCATTTAAGCACACAGAAGAGCAAAACCATTCCTTTATCAAATATTCGATTTCTAGTTGACACGGAAGCTTTACAGCAATTCGGTTGAAATATTATCAACTGTTCTGGGGAAGTTGCATTTTAAACAATTAAAAGTCCGAAGTACCACATTTCAGGCCCAGCCCCAGGTAACTTTACTCTTCATTTACGTAACAATTAAGAACACGTCATTATGATCAATGCCACTTCATAGTGTATATGTGTATACTGTATGTTTCTTTCCATTTTAAGACCACGTAACCTTGTGGTAGGGTGTGGATTTTAACCCTTAACAAGTTACGGTCAAAGGACTAACATGAGGGCAATGCTTGAAGCATTTTTACTTATCT